TGTGTGTGTGTGTGTGTGTGTGTGTGTGTGTGTGTGTGTGTGTGTGTGTAAAGGTAGGGGCCCTCCCTGGTGGCATCATGGTTTCACATTGGCTGCTAACCACAAGGTGAGTGGTTCAAAACCAAGAGCTGCTCCGCTGGAGAAAGACAGAGCTTTCTACGCCCATAAACAGTTACAGCCTCAAAACCCACACGGGCACTTCTGCCCTGCCCTACAGGGTCACCATGAGCATGCACTTGAGGGCAGTGAATTTGGTTTGGTTGAGTTTACGCATAAAGGAATCTATAGACATCTGTATACACATATACATGCTGTGTGTATGTATATGTTTGTCTGTATAAGAAGCTGACCCTTAGAGTTCATCGTGTAAAAAAGTTCTCTAAGTCCCTTGGATGTTATCTCCCAGGTGATGTGGAAAACTGGCTCTCTTTGGAAAGAGTTGCCTTTGGGTGTGGAATCTGTGGGCCCCCTGGCAGCTCAGAAAGTACATCTCAACAGACAAGGACTGAGATTCCAAGGCAAACGGGGGCTTACCTGTGCCACTGGTCCACGACGGCCTTGGACGGAAGCCTCCAGATCATTCTGGGTTTGGGCTGCCCCACAGCCGAGCAGTTCAGTAGTAACCTGTCCCCAAAATTCACCTCCATCCATCTCCGGGATGCAGCTTCTATCCTGGGTGCCATCTCTCGCTCCTCCACCACAAGCGTCACCACCCTTCTCTCTGAGCCCGTGGAGCTGGTGGCAATGCACTCGTAGGTGCCCCCATCCTCAGAGGCCACCTGTCTGACACTCAGAGTTCCATTCAAATGTAAGGAAAACTTAGGGTTGATACGTTGCAAGGGTTTCACTTCAGTGCCGTCTGGGAGGACCCAGTACACGCTAGGCCTAGGGGTTCCTCCAGCCGTACAGGGGAAGGTCAGACTGTCACCCTGAGGCCCCACGAGGACTTGCCGTTTCTGTTCTAGAATAACAGGTGGGGCTGCGATGACTTGCATCCTGACCAGCAGGGAGTCCCGGCCAGCCAGGTTGCTGGCCGTGCATTTGTAAAAGCCACGGTCGTAAATGCTGACGTCGTCCACCACCAGCGTTCCATCGGACTGCACCCGAGCCCGCTGGCTGCCTTCGGATGGGTCGGACAGGACAGTTTGGTTTGCCAGGACCCAAGAGATCTCAGGGCTCGGCCTGCCTTCGGCTCTGCACTTCAGTGCCACGGAGCTTCCCGAGTGAACCGTGATCTCTTTGGGACGTCTCTCCAGGATCCTGGGGGGGTAGGACACCACAGACAAGGTGACGTGAAGGCGGTCCGTGCCCAGAGGATTGGAAGCCGAGCACAGGTACTGTCCGCGGTCCTGGATGCCCACGCTCTGGATGGACAGCGTGCCATTGGGGTGCACCCAGAACCTGCTTCTCTGCTTCCTTCCAGACAAATCAAGTCCTGATAAGAAGGAAGGGAAACGATAGTTATACGCCTTCCGCGTTTAGTTTAAAAAATCATAATTAGTTCACATGGTCAAATCAAGAACAAAGTCATATTTTGGGTATAGAACTGCTTATTAAACTATGTTTATAAGTAAAATGAGGGCATTCGGCATCAGATTGCCAAAATAATTCCCAAAATTTCTTATCCGCTTAGTTTAAAAGCCAGATGAGTAAACGCAATGACCTATTGTTACCATAGCGCCTGGCGCCTGAGTCTGCTCTACAGCCTGAAAGCACGCTCTGAATGAATGTTCCCGAAACAACTGGGTGAGCAAAAGGTGCCTGTGCCCAATGAGGATGTTGGCCCCGTGCAGTGTCTCCGAGAAACTGGCAACTGGCCTTGAGTCTCGGGACGTGTGACCCTGACACAGAACAGAACCTCTTCCTAGTGCTATGCCTCACGACTCGGGGAAGTGCAACCAATTCAAATACCTGATGAGACTCTGGTCCAGCGGACGGTGGGAGCGGGGTCTCCAGCAGCCTCGCAGGGAAGGAAGGCATCAGACTCCGCTGGAACGGTAAAACTTGCGGCGTTCCCTCCGACAATTCTGGGCTTTTCGAGTGTGCTCCGAGACAGCATGTCAAAGGGGCGGAATTCGGAAGTGATCGTCTTTGTCACTTGTGTCCTCTCAAAGCCACTCTTTGGGGCCGTCTTCGATCCATCCCACTTTGGCACAGGAGTGAGGGCCCCTGGCGAACCAAACGTGGTCGGCACGCTCACTTCCAGTTTGGGTTTTTTTCTGGGGATTTCTGGATAGGACTTGGGCCAGAATTGGTTTTCTGTCCAGGGGGCGGGAGTTGGTTTAGAACTCTGTGGTTTCACCGTGAGCAGGACCGGCATTGGAGCCGACTGTAAGTTGTCAGAGTAGGAGGGGGTGGGTCTGATGGTGAACTTGGCACTTGGGGGGACCTCGGCTGATGTTGCAGTCCCAGCTACTGGCGGGTGTGAATCAGCATCCCCCCTGGAGGGTTCTGACAGCTCGGCTACTGCATCTATCATCCTAAAAGTGGGAGCTGCCACATGGTCCGTGGCGGAATGTCGAGGAAAGGGATGAGTGGGAACTGGCATGGGGGTGGCCGGACTGCTCAGGATTGGGCGCCCAGTGGAGTGGCTAGTCTCCCTGGTTGTGGGCCCCCGGGGAAGTTGGCGGGACAGCTTTGCCTCACGAGCTGTTGTGCTCTTCCGAGGCTGAAAACTCTGCTGGTGGTGTGCTTCAGCTCCGTCCGTCGGACGGAGAGGTCTTGAATGGAGACTCACCTTGCTTGCGATGCCTTTTGGACTTTCTAGGGGAGGAGGAGTTGAAGCAAAAACACTGGGTGGGGTCAGATCTGCGAGGTTCAGCCCGCCCCTATCCTTCTGAGGCTCCGGCCGTCTGTGTTGTCTCCGGTCCTTGGGTCTGACGGTCTGGATATTACCGACGACAGATGCAAAGGCCGTTGGAGGTGTTGTCCGCATGGCTGTGTGCGTGGATTTGAGGTGTGTGATGTGTGGCTCCTGGCTTGTGACACTAGCCACAGAGTCAAGGGGCGTGAAGGGCCGCTGGGTCACTGGTGAGGGACGGCTAGGAATTTGTACTGCAGTGGTCTCACCATGAGCTGTAGCCTGTGCGGCCAGAGCTGAAGTGGATACCCGCTTTGTGGAGAGGGTTGCTATATGGAAAGGGGAGACATGAGCAGGGGGTGTTTGGGGAAACACTGTGCTTTTCTCTGCATGAAACTGATGCTGTTTCTTAAGCCACTCTTTTGGGGAATAGTTATTTACAAAGACGTGATGCCCGGGGAATTTCTTTCTTGGAAAACTGGTAGTGGCTATGATACGAGGCGTGGATGGTTTTGTGATGGGCTCTGGAAGGGATGCTATCCTCAACGAATCTCTTTCAACTTCACGGGAGCTGGGCTCATTGGGGTCACGCGTCGTCACTGAATGAGTAGCTCCCAGAGAGAAAGATGTGGGGCCACGGGTCCTAGCTGCATCCGTTGGAGCCGCTCGGGTGCCTTCAGCACGGAGATCCTTTACTGCGGGCACCTTCACTTCAAGAGCTCCGGCTTCCTTGCCAGCTAGCAGCGGTCGACTCTGGAGGGGCCTTGCAGGCTCTCCAGAGGTGGGTGTGGCGAAGTCGGTTTGCGGGGGGCTGACTGGGGGAGGAGCTGGAGAAGACCAGGCGGCTGTGGCAGAGGCAAGCCTCTCCGTGGGCGTGGGCGAGCAGGAAGGGCAAAGCACGCTGCGCTCTTCGGGAGCCGCTCCGAACCGTGGTCTCATGAGGCCATACCTGTGCCGCCCGAGAGCTGGAGTTCTATAGGGGCTTACCAGCCGCCCCCTGCCCCAAATTTTCCTCCTCCTCCCAAAGCGTCTGGAGGGTGCAGCGCTCATTGTGATATTTCTAGGGATCTCGAGCCCAGATTTGGCAGCAGCGTGTGGATCTGCAGAGAGGGTAGAGGCGCTAAGCCTTTGAGCAGCATGAGAGTAGAAATCCTTGCTCCTGGGTTCGCTGGCTGCTGCGGCAGGTGTCGGACGAGCCCTCGGAGTATTCACCGATGCCAAGAATACGCCGGATGTGCTGTTAGCATGGCTAAGCACTTTGCTGCTGACATAGCTGGTCGCCCGTGGCGGAGAGACCGTGTGGGAGTTTGGGCTGGGGGTGTCCTGCCTCTTGGTGGATGCGGTTGGATTTCTCTTCATTGACACCGTGGTCGTGGTCGTTTGCACAGCAGCCTGGGGGCTGAGCTCTAGAGGATTCCCAGGTGGCGGGATCAGTGGACTCACAGCTGGGGAGACGCTGGTGCCAGAAGTCATGACGTCCATCCCGGGGTCTGGGGAGGTGGCTGTGGGATCAGCAGTCAGGGTTCTTGCTGGACCCAGCAACTCCTCATCTGGAGGGAGCACCCCGGAGCCTTCTCCCTCGCCAGGCGGTGTCTGGGGCTGGGGCCCTGGTGGAGTGGGCTGCCCTGGGCTGTTCTCCGGCTTGTCCAGGGCCGCCGTCTGTTTCGCTTTCCCCAAGAGCACAGCCCAGCGCTGCGGGTCGATTCGCCGAGCAGCGGGAGGAAACTGTCTCCTGTGCTCCCCAAACTGTCGGTTCCGGAAATCTCCACGTCGGCGGGGTGCTGACTCCCGGGAGCTGTGCTCCTGCTTTGGGACCGGCACTTGGTTCCCCACCTCTGCCTCCACTGGCGCTGATGTAAGGAGTTGTACCGCTGGGGGCTCCGTCGGGTGAGCGCCGGGATTCAAGCCATCGAGTCCAGAGCCGCCCACTTCTCCATCAGGCTCCGCTGGCCTCGCTTCTTCTGTTTGGACCGAAACTCGGAACGTCAACAGATCAACCCCTGATGGGTTGGCAGCCACACAGCGATAAAGGCCCTGGTCTTCCTGCGTGACCTGCATGATTCTTAATGCACCGTGCTCACCGATGTGCTTGTCTCTCGAGGACTGAGAGAGCACCGTGCTTCCGGGAAGAACCCAGCTGACGGAGGCGTCGGGGCTCCCGGTGGAAGGACATGGAAGCTCGAGCGTGTCCCCGAGGACGACTGTGTGGGGAGCCCCATCCTCGTGACGGGCTCCGACGGGGGGTTCAACCACAGTGAGCCGGTAGGTGAGCACATCTGCGTCGCCAGCATTGGTGCTTATGCAGTGGTACGGCCCCGCATCAAAGCGATCCGCTCTCAGAAGCTCCAGTTTCCCGCTCTCGTCTATCAGGAGCCGTCCGTCCTCACTGACGTAAGGGGCTCTCACTTCACTCCCATCCGACAGAAGCCACTCCAAATGCGGGGTGGGGTCTCCTCGAGCCGGGCAGTCCAGCTCAATCGCCCCACCAACCAAAACGGTGCGTTCTGGCTTCCTCTTGGTGTCCCTTGAGATCAGGGTCCATCCGTATGCTCCCGGTTTGATCTGCTCCCTCGGCACAGTGACGTGAACATCACTCGAGTAGCAGATATGCAGGGTGCTGAGTGTCGTCGCAGCTCTGTCGAGTCGCAGGGAAACATAGTCTTGCATTAACCAAGAGGGATCGGCGTTGAGATGTGCCTCAATGTTGGTGAAAATGCCTTCGGCCTTAGAAGCCACCTGCTTATACTTGTATCCGTGCTGGGACGCTTCCGGGATCAAACGTGCTCTTTCTAGGATCAGCGGAGAATCACTGTACAAAGCTAGAACCTGCCACACGGGCTGAATGTGGCCGAACGCGACATTACACACCAGACCTGTAGAAAGTGGTGTGTGGAGCACGATGGAGGCGCCTTGCTCTGTGAATGCAGTGGATGATGTTCTGGAGGGTTTCTGGACCCTGCAGACCACGTTGGCTTCATTTCCAGACTGGTCTGTCATATTCAAGGTGAGGGAACCCAAGGGTGCCATGAAGTCTTGGGGAGAGGGGAAGGCAGAAGCGGTGTCTTCCAGAACGGTCAGGTGCTTCCGTTTCAAGGCTGAGTCAATCGTTGGCTTGACACACTGGAAAGCTGCAGCTGGGACCACAGCCAAGGGCTTGCCTTTGGAGGCCCTGGGGTCCACGCAAAGTGGGCATTGCTGAGCGCCGGGGGCACTTCTGTCTCTCTTGCACTTGATTACATCTAGGGGGGAAATCACAATGGAGTTATTGCCAGTTGAAACGTTTATATGAATTTACATTGAGCATTTTGAGAGAAATTGTTTTTGCTGGAATTTGAAACAATTGGGGACAAAAAGTCATGCTTAATAGAGAGCTTTTTGCATTCTTTGTCTTTCTGGTGATTTCTTAAAACTATCGTACACACACACACACACACACATGCATCTTTATTTACAGGAGTGAAACAGGCCATTACGATTTGTTTGTAAGGAGTTCAGACTTCAGAGGGAGAGGCCACTAGACGTCAGCCCTAGAAACCCAGAGCAGCAGAGCATGTGTGGTTAAAATTCTGGAGGAGAAGGTCTTCTTCCTTCTTGGTTTTGTTTGGCTTTGGCGTTTTCTTATGTACAATAAAAAAAACATCATTTAATGGCACACCCAATTGCTTCTGTGGAATGCCTACAGGTGTGGCTGGTCTATGGTAATTCTCTCACCTTCAGATTAGCAAACTCCTGAAGGAAACACCCGTTTACAGGTTAAGAAAACAAGCCAGAGAGGTTGCAAACACAAAACTAAAAAAAAAAATGAATTCACTGTCATGGAGTTGATTCTGACTCAGAGTGACCCTAGAAGGACAGAGTAGAACTGTCCATGGGTTTCCGAGACTGTAACTCTTTACTGGAGTAGAAAGTCTGCTCCTCTTTCTCCCTTAAAGTGGCTGGTGATTGTGAACTGCTGATCTTGCAATTAGCAGACCACGTGCAACCCACTACATCACCCCTAGCCGAAACAGATAACATGGGACAGAGCCCAGTCTTTCTGATACGTCATCTTGATTCTGCTTTGTGCCCCACGAAGATTACATTTGGGTGTGAATAAGCAGTATTAAAGGGATGGCAGGGAAGGCATTCTAGCAGAGAGGCTGCCTTGCACGGTCAATCAAGAAGGATCAAATGCGAAGCTACTGCTTATCAGCCTAGCTTCTACTGAGGTGTGGACACTAGTTAGAGAAGCTTCCATCTCCCTCAAAAATTCCCTCAAAGGATTCTGTGTTCTTTGATCGACAGCAGCGCAAAACTGCAGCTTGGACATCTGGGGAGGCTCAGCTCATGTTGTTTTGAGCTTGAAGAACAAAAAGAAGTCTGCAGGGACCAGACCAGGGCTGTCGGGCAGAGGGGATAAGGTTTCACAGTGAGACCCTCGCAGGAGGAGCAGGGACATTGTCAGGATGCAAACAAATTCCTCAGCTCAACCTTTTTGGCTTTTCCCCATAACTGATGCTTTTCAGTTGTCCTAAAACTTTGTAATAAGCCTTTGTGATCATTTTGTGTCCTTCAAGAAAAATCAAGATTAGCTTTTGGGAATCTAATAATAAAAACACCTGTTGCTACAAACTTCTAAGCCAGTGGCTCTCAACCTTCCACATGCCGCGACTCTTTCATACAGTTCCTCATGTTGGGGTGACCCCACAACCATAACATTATTTTTGTTGCTACTTCAGCACTGTCATTTTGCTACTGTTATGAATCTGGCGACCCCTGTGAAAGGGTCACTCGACCCCCCAAAGGGGTCACGACCACAGTTAAGAACCGCTGTTCTAAGTGGACTTGCCTTGAATTTAACTAGCTCGGCTGATTCCCCACCCCTGGAAGCCACTGTTTGGATTGGACCATTGTTCTTTTTGAAGGAACCCTGATGAAACCAGTCATGGAAATCATTTGTTGGCAGCCATGCCCGGGATTTGAGGAAGGAGCGTCAATGAGCTTTGGAAGTATCTCCTTAAGAGAACTGGTATAAGCCACCCATTGATTGCAGGCACAGACCCAAACACAGGTGAGTTGGAATAAACGTGCCTGTATGAACTGGGGGCACAGGAGTGAGTCTTTTGAATTACCCTCATAGATTAAGGTGACCAGATTTTAACATTGGTAAAGCGGGACGCCATTGATAAAACTCATATCCTGGCGAAATAGCCACATGGCAGTCGAAAACTGTATACCCTAGCTTGTCGTGCGTGCATTCTTTCCAAAAATCAGGACTTTTTAAAAACACAGCACAACACGGGAAAAATTGTTAAAAAGCGGGACTGTCTGGTCACCTTATCGTAGATACCAGACCCTGCTCCAAAGTCCTTCTGGGGAGGGTACAAACCTCTCGCCCTCCGGTTAGCCCTCCAGTGCACCAGCTCTCTCCACCTCCAGAACACTGTCTCTTCCAGGTTCTCGATGTCCACCCATTGGCCACCCGACGTGCTACTTCCACAGGGCCTGACCATGGGTTGCCCACCCTTGAGGGCCCAGTGTAGGAGCATTTCCTCTGACTTGGCTCCACGCTTTACGTCCCCCTGGTACTGTTGTCCCTCACGGTCCACTCCTAGAATACCTTGTTTGGTGAGTGTCTTCCCCTGAGACCCTGAGCTGCATTACAACAGGGACCTCGCTTGTCCATCCCTGTGTGTCCTGCCTCGGTCCATAGGGGCTCAGGAAAGATCAGTGGAAGATAGGGAAGGAAGGAAGGGAGGGAGGGGGAGGGGAGGACTTGGAGGCAGGGAAGGAGGTAGGAAATCAGTGACATTTCATCTGCCTTGATGATGGAAGGCTTTTAAGAACCATCGTAAACGGGATCGCAACAGCATCTCAAAAGAAGTAGCCAGGAATGTAGGATCCGTGAGCTTATGTTAACGAGAGATAAACCGTTCAGAAGAGGGTGGGACTGCAGAACTGAAAGAATGAACCAGGTGTACATGTCGACACCGTGTATGAATGGGTGTATGTCTTACTACGTGTATTCTCAACAACAGCAGCGATGTGCACACACACACACACCATCGAGGATTCATGTGCTCAGAGGCATAAAGTTGACCAGAAGGACACGTTCGTGCAATCGTCTAAACGGGACTTAAGACATAGCTGTGGGAAATAGACAAGCAGGGTTTAAAGTTTCCATCTGGAAAGGCCCCGTGGCCCGCCTGACTCGCAGCAGGCCCACAGGACACAGGGGATCTGCCCCAGAGGTCTTTTAAGGCTGTGGCTCGTTGCCGAAGCTGACTGGCGGCCACATCTTTCCCCCCCAGAGTTCCCACAGTACCACTGTGCCACCGGATCTCCTTCGATGGAGGGGCAGTCCAGCCCAGCTCTGAACGCAGGACCCATCCCGTCCCACGAGGCCTCATGACACCAGCTTCGGGAAGTCTCTGCTGGCTCCAACCACAGGACAATGGCTTTGACCATCAGGTGCCCGCTTTGTCCACGTTTGCACCAGGATCGACTCGATGGCAGCGAGCCAGGCCCTCGAACTGATCCCTGGGAAGGTCTGGAGATCCCTCTGGCTGAGAAGGTTATGCCTTCCCAAGACGACCCGCACCACAGATGGCCGACACACGAGGGCCCTTTGCAAACTCACGTCTTTATGAAAGCTAACCAATGGGTGCAGGGCCGATGGCTAACGTGGCTGTAGGGTGGACAGAGGTGGCCGACTGCCAGCCTCTCCCTGCTCCTGCTGGCTATGGTCTCATGAATATGCAACTTCACCTACCTGTTGGCTTTCCCATCTGTACACAGACAACGACATCACTGCCTGACTGGATTCCTTTCCCGTCTGTAAACACAGACAACGACATCACTGCCTGACTGGATTCCTTTCCC